TCCTATTCTTTAAGTCCCTAAACCCTGAACTCCAAAGAAAACCCAAACCCTACTAAAACCCCAAAGCCCTAAACCCAAAACCTGAAACGTAAAGCGTAGAAAAGCCCGAAAATTAGGGTTCAGGGTTTGGGGTTTGACATTTCAGGGTCGAGGGAATATGCGGGTCAGGAGTTGAGGGGTGAAGCCTCCCAAGAGAAAGGTGTCCCGGAACCCTGACAACGTTCCCTAAACCCGAACAGCCCTAAACCCTAAACCCGAAACCCTAAACCCTAACTGCCCTAAACCATAAACCCTTACAGGCCTTGACTTTCGGGGTGCGGACGGAGTTTGCTACGTCGGGGTGAAGCTTCGGGTATTCAGGGTTACCTTGATAAATCCTGGGTTACTTATAGGTGGGGGTTAAGGGTTTAGGGTTTAGGACTTAGAAGTGGATGGGTATAGGGTTTAGGGTTTAGGGGTACTTAGAAGTAGACGGGCATAACGATAGTTACCCTGGGTATAACGCTACTTATATACGTTCCCATGAACCTCCGTAGGGTTGGTTCAACTGATATGGAAGGGGTCGGGTTGCTCTGCATCTGGGCCCCTGTTGTAAAACCAATATCTACTAACCCTTGAACAAAACCAAAAGGCTCCAATTTGTTCTAGAAGTCCCAAACCTTAGACCCTGGACCGAAAACGCTGTACAACTTCAACGGGTCTGTGGTTTAGGCGTTCAGAGTTTAGGGGGCCCCTAAACCCTAAACCCTAAAACCCCAGACCCCAAACCCCAAACCCTAAACCCTAAAACCCCAAACCCCAAACCCCAAACCCCAAACCCCAAACCCCAAACCCCAAACCCCAAACCCTAAACTAAACCCGTAAACCCCAAACTAGACGCTCAACCCCATTAAACCCTTAAACCCTTAAACCCTTAAACCCTTAAACCCTTAAACCCTTAAACCCTTAAAGCCTTAAAGCCTTAAACCCTGGGAACTCGTGCGCTTCTGCACAGCACGGTTCGTGAGGTGCACGAAGGGGTCCGCCACCTGCCAAGATGGCAGCTTGGGATCTTTACGGGATTAAGGGGTTTCGGGTTTAGGGTTTAGGGTTTAGGGTTTGGGGTTTCGGGTTTAGGGTTTTTGAGGGTTCAGGGTTTAAGGTTTAGAGTTTAAGGCTGTCGGGCTTAGGTTTAGGGTCCAAGTCCCGAAGTCCGTGCCCTAGACCCAAGCCCAAAACAACGCCTAAACCCTTATCCCGAAAAACTTAATGCCTAACCCTTAAACCTCCCCACCCTCCCACCCCAACCCCCCACTCCCCCTCACCGGTCCCCACCCCACCCCCTCCCTGACACAACCAACGGACTCCCCAGAACGCATTGAACCTAAACTGTTAACATCCCACGGGTCCCAAGAGCAAGCACCAGCAAATGATAAGAAGAAGTTTAGGGTTTAGGGTTTAAAGGGTTTAAAGGGTCTAAAGGGTTTAAAGGGTTTAAAGGGTTTAAAGGGTTTAAAGGGTTTAAAGGGTTTAAAGGGTTTAAAGGGTTTAAAGGGTTTAAAGGGTTTAAAGGGTTTAAAGGGTTTAAAGGGTTTAAAGGGTTTAAAGGGTTTAAAGGGTTTAGCGGGTTTGGGGTTTAGGGTTTAGGGGTAAGGGATACTACTAATCCTGCGGATGGCCAGGACGATGACGACCCAGTTTCATAAGCCCGAAGAAACGAGCGAAAGTCCTACACCTGACGTGAAGCAGGGATATAGGGCCCGACAAAAACTCCACCAGTTACCCGACTTGTTAGCCCTATGCGGTTTAGGGTTTAAATGTTAGGGTTAAGGGTTAAGGGTTAAGGGTTTAGGGTTTAGGGTTTAGGGTTTAGGGTTTAAAGGTTAGGGTTAAGGGGGCTATAACTAATCTTGAAGCTCCATACAATAGCCTCTCAAGCAAGAAACACGTTGGGCTGCAGCCTGGATCCCGGGGGGACCCCTGAGTCACCGCGCTCTCAAAAAGAATCTGTTGGAATGTCCACGTGGGCAGTTCTCTAGGTTTGGGTCCCTGTTTTCGGCCTGCCATGCCTGAACCCTAAACCCTAAACCCTAAACCCTTATACACTACGGCAGCCTTGAAACAAAGGTCCCACCAAGGCATCCCAACGTAGAGAACTACTAATTCATACTTTTAGGTACCCCTAAACCCTAGAAGCCCTAGAACCGACAAGCCCCAAACATCCGCACCCTATCTCTTAGGGTAGGTACATGGTCCCTTAGGCGGTTTAGGGTTTAGGGTTTAGGGTTTAGGGTTTAGGGTTTAGGGTTTAGGGTTTGGGGTTTAGGGTTTCCCTTATGTACCCCCTACAACCCAAGGGCCCATCCACACCCTAACTCGTCGAAGTTCTCATGCGCTACTTGGAGGTTCATGGTACATATTAAGCAATTGTAAGTGTACTTATAACTGTACTTATAACTGTACTTACAACTGTACTTGTAACTGTACTTATAACTGTACTTATAACTGTACTTATAACTGTACTTCTAACTATACTTATAACCATATTACAAGCGGGTAGGTTAACTCACATCTTCGCGTGTGAAGTCGCATCTCCCCAGTGACACGCGGCTGCGAGCGAAGTCACATCACCCCGCGTAAAGTCGCATCACAGAGACATATGTTGAAGCCTTTCCCCCAATGTGCACGCGCCGCACGCGCATGCCCAAGACACACATGCAAAATACGCACTTGTCACCGCACGCCTGAGAGGGAGCACATTTTTGTCAGCGTGAATGAGATTTCTGCTTGGGGGTGCAAGTGAGTTCTGACCAATCTTGGACTCGTGAATTCCCAGTGTGCACGCGCCCGAGATACGACTTAGCACCAGAAGATACGACTTAACCTACCCGCTTGTAGGGCACTTAAAGTGGTTATAAGTACAGTTGTAATGGGTTGATAAGTACCATGAACCTCCAAGTAGGCCCCCGCGATGTTACCACGCAGGCCTGGGTCGACGCCCATGTGAAAGGTTTCGATGCGAGCCTTCCAAGCAGGCGATTGGGGAGTTTAGGGTTTATGGTTGAGGATTTAGGGTTTAGGGTTTAGGGTGTAGGGTGTAGGGTGAAGGTTGTAGGGTGTTGGGTGTAGGGTTTAGGGTTTAGGGTTGACTTGAAGGTTCACGGGTACTTGGAAGTAGGGCTATAAGTACCCTAGATAGGCTTATCGCCTACCTATTATAGCCCTACTGTTAAGTGTAACCCATGAACCTCGCAGCAGGGAGGTTTTAACGCAGAAGCCCCCAGCACGGAAACTACATCTGGACCCCAAGAGTAAACTAGGAATGTAAATGGGTGGCTTTTGTTGCCTTAAAGGGGCTTCTGAGGGAACCCTAAACCCCAACAAAAAGGGAACAAAAGCCTACTCGGGTCAATGAGCAGACTGGGTTTGGGTTTAGGGTTTAGGGTTTAGGGTTTAGGGTTTAGGGTTCAGGGTGGGTTGTAGCGGTGTAGGGTTTGGGTTTGGAGCATCCAGCATCGGCGGGACGCTCCTGCCTGCTCGGCAACTGCATTAGTTGCTGGGTAAAGGCCTTTTGGGTTTAGGGTTTAGGGTTTAGGGTTTAGGGTTTAGGGTTTAGGGTTTGTTAGATCATTCATTACTGCTTTCCCCGGCCACGATTAATGGGACTAAAGCATGTCCCAGGGCCAGATCTCCAAATTCCAGTCTCTCTGAGCGCCACGTAAATGGAAGGCTCCGGAATCTAGTCAGAACCTGCTCAAGAGGGAACATACGGATCCCCATTGGCACCGGTACCCTTAAGTGAGGCTGTTTCATGGGTCCAGGGCTTCGGCCCTTTTCAGCAGCTCAGGCGTTGGGATGTGGGCTTCGAGTTCGGGGCTGAGGGGCCTAAGCCCTGCACCGCTCTTTTCCGAACTGCCAGAGTCGGAGCAGTTCGAACGCGAAAAGATCTCCAAGAGGCAACGCCTTTGGCCTCTGACTAAACCCTAAACCCTAAACCCTAAACCCTAAACCCTAAACCCTAAACCCTAAACCCTAAACCCTAAACCCTAAACCCTAAACCCTAAACCCTAACCCTAAACCCTAAACCCTAAACCACTCAAAATGGCACACTTGGCAACCTCAGGACCGAGGGGCTCCAAGGGCTATCTCCACGCTGAAGCCATGACTGCCAGGAGGTGGCTAGGAATACCATGCCCTAAGGGTCCATGTGCCCTAAAGCTACTATATGGGAACCCCTTTAAGGCCCAAGTATATACTGTATAGGTACATGGACCCTTAGGGTAGTTGCTTAGGAACCCCCCCCCCCCCCCCACCCAAAAAAAAACTTGAAGATAGCAATCCCTAGAGTACCCTCATAAGAAAACATTAGAAAGATAATTATCCCTCTATTGCCCTTATAAAAAGGAAGAATATGTTCACTTCTATCTTTTTGGGGGGGTTCTTTAAGCACCTCTTAGAGGAGTCGGGCTGCAACTTCCCTCATAGAGGGCAGACATCACGCCCTCAGGGCCCATGTACCCTGTCCAGTACACACTTGGGCTCTGAAGCCCTTTCAGGTACATGGACCCTGAGACGCATCGGGTGGCCGTACTGAGTACTGAAGCCAGAGCGGTCAGATTGACTTGGCAGGACCAAGGCAGCAGCACTGCCCAACGAGCTTCACGAAATTGCCGGCCTCCCCTACTTCCCACGACTGCCCTGGCGGCCAGGCTGGCAAAAGGCATATGCGGTCAACCACATGGGGCCACACCCCCAGGAAACAGCTCCCCCTGTCATTCGTGCGATGGTCCTCGTTCTTTGAGGACCTGGCTTTCCAACAGTTGAGGACCATCAACAAGTGGCCGCTCCCACGCCACCCATTTCCAAAGAACGCGCGTCGCAGACTTCTTCAGAGGATCCACGAAGGCCCTGCTGTCTTGAGCACACGGCCGTTACTTCCTGCAGACGACCCTGTGGAAGGAGGGGACATCGCGAAGATGGCGGAGGAGGCCACCATGGATATGGACTGCACGGGATCTCGTTCACTTGAACACTCGCCGGAGGCCTGACAACCCAGCATCGTCCAGCGCGACAGCCTAGGTTGCCCAGTAAAACGTGATAAACCTGATAATCCCTAAGAAGCCTAAACCCTGAGGCCTCAAAAGAAAATGGATGCGCTTTTGGGCTTCATAGGTTTGCTGAATAGGATAAACTAGGCTGGCCCTTTGAAACATCTGAAAAAGCTGTGTATGGTCCGCTCATACCCAACAAAAGAAAACACAAAAAAACCTAAACACTAACCCTAAACCCACAAAGACAAACAAAAAATGTCAGGTCATTAAGACATCCCAGCAGCAAGTCCGAGGGAGCGCTGGTGCCTGGGCTCGAGGGGAAGCAGAATGCGTGCAGCGTTTGTGAAGTTTAGGGTTTATAGGGATCAGGGTTTTTAGGGGGTTTAGGGCTTATAGGGTCTACGGTTTAGCCTAAACCATATCTTTAGAACTTAGGTAAGGTTTAGGGTTAGAACCACCGCCGCCCTAGCTACCCAACCCGAAGTAGGCTCAACTAAGGCCTGTTTTAGGGGTGATTTGAGTCATATGCTGGGTTGGAGCCTGTAAGGCGGCTGTAGATAAGAATCTCACATTCAACCTAGGACAACCTTCCCACCCACCCACCCTCGGAAAACAACACAAAAACTAAGGACACGCAACCCAAAAAGCCCCTAACCCCTACATGCATAATCGTCCACCCAAACCCCTGAAGCCCCCCTAAACCCTAAACCCTAAACCCTAAACCCTAAACCCTAAACCCTAAACCTAAACCCCAAGCAAACCCTGAAGACATCCGAGGTGCAGTCGGCTGCGGTGACCTGGCTCTGAACAGACCAACAACCGCTAGAGCAGCACCCTGACATAGGGTTTAGGGTTTAGGGTTTGGGGTTCAGGGTTTAGGGTTTAGGGTTTAGGGCTTAGGGTCAATGAGCACAACAGTGAAGTTCAGAGGTCAAACTCAGGATTCTTGTCGAAATCCTCTTCAAACATCAGCCCACTGGTGTGATGGCGCGCTGTTGAGTTTCGAGTAAGTGTTCAGAACCCCGTCAATGAGTCAAGGACTACTTGCTGCTGGAAGGGCCCAAGACCTGCACCAACTTCAGAAACTGTCCCTGCAGATTCAGGGATAAAAGTCCGATTACTATAGACCCCCACCCTCAACTTGAATGGTTAGGGTTTAGGGTTTAGGGTTTAGGGTTTAGGGTTTAGGCTTAACGTTTAGGGTTTAGGGTTTAGGGTTTAGGGTTTAGGGTTTAGGGTGGAATGAGTCGGGAGGCATGCTTTGAGAGCTGCTCCGTATGCCGCGCAGTCCGGGTCCACGGCTCCGTCGACGAGACACTGCCTAGGTCAAAGGTCTCATTCCACCCGAAGCCCTGAAGCCCTGAAGCCCCAAGCCCCTGAAACTCTGAAGCCCCCAAATTCCTACATCTCAACCCTCCCCCCCAAACCCTAAACCCTAAACCCCAAACCCCAAACCCTAAACCCTAAACCCTAAACCCTAAACCCCCCCCCCCCCCCCCCCCCCCCCCTCAAAAAAACAACAATAAAAACATGTTGCCACCAAGACCTACGACCCATTTGGTGGGACCAAGAATACTTGTGGTGGCCCTGGAGCCCTAGCCCTATCCACCCCAAAAAGATTCGAGTTTAGGGGTTTAGGGTTTATGAACTCCGATGGGCTTATGTACTCCGATGAATGCAGTGCCCGGCGGCAGCAGGCACAGGGACAGCAGCCAAGACCTCGGAAAGTCTCAGCACAGTAAGTTTAGGCGGTAGGTTAGAGTTAGGGTTGACGGCTTTCAGGTTTGAACACATCTTTAACTCGAGGACTCGAGGATCCTCAGGAACACTAGATTTTCGGCAACCCTAAACCCACAACCCACCCTAAACCCTCAAGCCCCCTGTAGCTTGAAACTATGAGGAAGACGTCCAAAAGCTTAAAACTTTCCTCGAAACTCCTCGAAACTTTCCCCGGACCTGAACCCTTAATAATTTCAATAAACCCTAAACCCTAAACCCTAAACCCTACCAACTGGGCCGCCGGCTCCCAAGAACGCTCCAGGCTCCGCAGGAGGGCGCCCACGCCGATGCGGGACGGCGGCCACCTCGGAACGGACCCCGCTGCGGGGTACTAAGGAGGGTTGGATTGTGCGTGGGTTTGGTTTAGGGTTTAGGGTTTAGGGTTTAGGGTTTAGGGTTCCAGGGGTTCTAGGGGTTCTGCGGGTTCTAGGTGTTCTAGGGGCTCTAGGGGTTTTAGGGGCTCTAGGGGCTCTAGGGGTTCTAGGGGTCCTAGGGGTTCGAGGGTTGAGGGTGCTTTAGTGCACCCCGAGGCAGTTTACCAATAGATATAAGGCTACCACTTCTACGGGGCAGAGGGGCGAGCCCTAAACCCCAAGTCCTTAAACCCCGAATAAAACTGACAGAAGACCTGAAGCCCTATACGCATTTTGGGTTCAGGATTTCATGGCTTTTCTTTCACATGCCTGATCATATGAAGCTTTCCTGAATGAGCCCTAAATCGTGATCACATACCCGGAAACAGGTCATCAGAATCGGAACCTATACTTTGAGGCCCCTTCTGATGGGGGGTTTGTGGGTGAAGGGATTATATGGTCTACAGACCCTGATGTAAGGTTCCTTGAGTTCTGAACGGCGGGATGGTAGTATGGCCAAGCCTCTCATGCATCATCCGCCTGTCCCGCAAGGCGGTTTCTGGGGAGTTTCGGGTCCAGGGTCTGCGGTTTGGGATTGATAGGGCTTAGGGTATGGGGCTTAGGAACCCTCCACTGCTAAGGGCCCTAAATCGTCAGCCGAACCACCCATCGTCAACCCTAAACCCTCAACCCTCAACCCTAAACCCTAAACCCTAAACGAGCCCGAAGCACCCTAAACTCTCAAGGCGTACATCAACATCGAAGTGAGGGTTAGTTTGGAGTGACCCACAAAACGAGGAAAGGGACAAACGGAGTTTAGGGTTTAGGGTTTAGGGTTTAGGGTTTAGGGTTTAGGGTTTAGGGTTTAGGGTTGGAGTGACCCACCAAAACGAGGAGACCTGCAAACCGCATCTTGGGCCCTCGGGGCTAGGTGGGGGATGCTTTGGGGCTACTTAACAAGGATGGCCCTTAACCCCTCTAGAAAATATTCCTAAATAGGATCCTCTGAAACCCAATAAGGGAAACATAGAAAATATACCAAGGGCCTACCCAGTTAAAGATACCTATAGGGTAGCAGGACTGCGAGTCGGTTCTAACAGTGCTTCTGGCGATTTCTCTGAAGTATGGTGCCTTGTGGGGCCCTTGCTATAAGGCGCCCCCCCCCCCTCCTAGCATTGACTACGAATTGCTTAAGAACCCCGAAAAAAATGCTATTCCTTACTAAGGGTAATATGGGGATTATTATCTTCTGTTCTTTTGGGGCTCTTAAGCAAATAGTAGTTGAGGGTACCCGAAACGGGACCAGAACGTGGAGAACTCCTAATTTAAAGAACTGACTTTGTGCGAAGGCAAGGCACAATATCCGAACACCCGCAGCATCCAAGGCCCTCACAGCCTGGCAACCCCAAAAGCCCACATGCGGATTGGGTTTTGGGTTTAGGGTTTAGGGTTTAGGGTTTAGGGTTTAGGGTTTAGGGTTTGGGGTTTAGGGTTTAGGGCTTCCGGGGTTCAAGGTTTGAAGTTTGAGGTATGACGCTTTTTTCAGGTTGAGGAGTTGCCTCAGCAGCTCCAATCCGTGAGCCCAGTGGCCAGCCCCTGCGCATGCGCCGATGGCCTGCCGAAACGGCGCAGGAAATACTGCTGAAGTAGAGTAGCAGTTGGGATGCTCCTCCTTATACTAAGAGTCCTTTTTGAAGGACTGCTAGTAGCAGCGTGCTCCCAAACACCCCTGAGCTGAAAGAGCTGATAGCGAGCCATTGCTGAGTGAGCTTTGCAGACCTTTGCAGTGCTTTCAGAGTCTAAACCCTAAACCCTAAACCCTAAACCCTAAACCCTAAACCCTAAACCCTAAGCTCCTTTTTCCCGAGCTTGATTATCAGCAGATCCAACTCCTAGTAGCCCAGTAACCACATTATAACAAGTGCACCCTTGTTTTGGTTGGCTACTTTTGTAAGGGAACCCAGAACCAAAAAAAGTGTAAAGGGTACCACTGGGCCACCAAGAAACCCTACAGCACGCTGAGGCCCCAACCAGACCATCAAAACAGCCACTTCAAAAAACAAACAGAAAGCCCTGACCTCCAAAACTACACAATCCTGAGGACCTTAGAACCAGGATCCCCCACAATAACCCTCAACCCTCAACCCTCAACTCTCAACCCTCAACCCTCAAACCTAAACCCTAAACCCTAACCCTAAACCCTAAACCCTAAACCCTATACCCCAAACCCCAAACCCCAAACCCTAAACCCTAAACCCTAACGAAGCTGTCCGAGGGTCCCGGTCCCAGGTGGTCATCTGCGGCTCTAGGCGCCAGGCATCAACTTCGCGGAGCCTAAGGGGGGCTTAGGGCTTAGGGCTTAGGGCTTAGGGCTTAGGGCTTAGGGTTTAGGGTTTAGGGTTTAGGGTTTAGGGTTTAGGGTTTAGGGTTTAGGGCTGGAGAGCTTTGGATGGTTTGGGGTTGCGTGTGTAGGGGTCGGCTTTATGAAACCCAAAAAAACGGACGTCTTGCTGGGTTTCTGCATTGTCCTAGTAGCCCAGCAACCATATTATAAGAAGGGCCTCTTGATTTTTGCAGTTTCGGGACATGTTTGGAAGAGTCTTGATTTTTCTCAGGGAGAAGCGTGTGAAGCAAGGAAGGCAAGGCTCGAAACAGTTTTTGGGAAGATCATGGAGAGGTCCTGGAAAGCTTGTGGGCAAGCATGGCAAGTGTCGGAATGGGTCTTGCAGAGGTTGGTTTTGGAAACTAGTTAACCCTAAACCCTAAACCCTAAACCCTAAACCCTAAACTCGGTAGTTAGTGTTAAGCTAGCTTGCGGGTCTACCAGGGTGTTTGGACGTCCACTAGGGCTCTGAGGTGATGCAGTAAGCCTGTTCTTTGTAAAGCTTGCGGTAGAAAAGCAGCCAGCATAAACTGTGGCTAGGTTCGGGTATAGGTAGGGTTTATTTGGGTTTAAGTTGGGTTTAGCTAGGGTTTTCAGGCTTAGGCTTGAGGAGTTTATGGGCTACAAGGGTTATGGGATTCACAAGCCAAAGGGCTGTTGTAGGGTTTGGGGTGGATCAAGCGTCTCGTAGGGCGATCATTGAGGGTGAAGGATTGGGGAGGGCTTAAGGTTTATAGTTTTGGGGTTTGGCTTAGGGCTTTTGGCGTTGTGTGTTCCAGGATTTGTGGGGTTTCGGGTTGCAGGGCCTTTGGCCCTAAACCCTAAACCCTAAACCCTAAACCCGAAACCCTAAACCCTAAACCCTAAACCCTAAACCCTGAACCCTAAACCCTAAACCCTAAACATAGGGTCTAGGGGTTGAGGGGTTCAGGGTCTGTACAGGCACCAGAGGTCTGCCGCAAGACCCTACTTAAAAGTCCAAGCCCTAGGCTCTATAGCCCGAAGGTTCCGTTTAGGGTTTAGGGTTTAGGGTTTAGGGTTTAGGGTTTAGGGTTTAGGGTTTAGGGTTCAGGGTACTTGGGCCCTATAGCTACTAGATGGGCATGCCTTCAAGGCCCAAGTATATACTACGTAGGTACGTGGAACCTTTGGAGCCTTGGGGCAGAGCCTAACCCTAAACCCTAAACCCTAAACCCCTGAACCCCTAAACCCTAAACCCTAAAACCCTGACAAAAACAGGTCTCATGGTCTCATGTAGTCGGAAGCAGCTTATGGACGAACCTTATATTTCCGGCAATAAGGACATAATTTCAGAAAAGCAGTACAATCCTTAGTGTAGGAACCCACAGAAGGGTACCCCTATTAAAGGAAACCCGCATACATACCTCAAACCCTAAACCCTAAACCCTAAACCCTAAACCCCAAACATGGCCTTTAGACTTTTAGGATATTAAGAGGTTGGAGGGGACCAGGACAATCGCTTCCTGGAAGCAATTGCAAGGCAGCCAGCCACTGCCTGCAAAGCTTGACCCTAAACCCTAAACTTCCCAAACCCTAAACCCTAAACCCTAAAGCCTAAACCCTAAAGCCTAAAGTCCCTAAAGCCTAAAGCCTAAAGCCGAAAGCCTAAACCCTAAACCCTAAAGCCTACAGCCTAAACCCTAAAGCCTAAAGTCTAAAGCCTAAAGCCTCAAGCCTCAAGCCTCAAGCCTAAAGCCTAAAGCCTAAAGCCTAAAGCCTAAAGCCTAAAGCCTAAAGCCTAAAGCCTAAACTTCCGAGCCCCTGCACCCTCAACTAAACTTCTGTGCCCCTAAACCCTGAACCCTACAGTTCTGAGCTTCTAAGCCCTTAAACCACTAGGTCACTAAGAGGGTTTAGGGTTTAGGGTTTAGGGTTTAGGGTTTAGGGTTTAGGGTTTAGGGTTTAGGGTTTAGGGCAACTTCTGCGCCCCTGAAGGTTTGCCCCCCAGCGCCCGAACCACTTCTGGAACTCGAAGCCCCTTTACGCTGGCAAGAGCTGGGACACTCTGGGACCCTACGCCCCCCTCAAGCCTCCGAGACTCTGTGCGCAACCCTAAACCCTAAACCCTAAACCCTAAACCCTAAACCCTAAACCCTAAACCCTAAACCCTAAACCCTAAACCCTAAACCCTAAACCCTAATGGGTTTAGGCCTTAGGGGCTCTGAGGTTTGGGGTTTAGTTAGGGCTTTATGGGGCTTGGGGTTTCAGGGTTCTAGGGCTGTGGGGCTTCGAGGTGCAGGGCTGTTGGCTTAGGGCTTCAGGGCTTTCGGCTTTATGGTTTTGGGGGTCGGACTCGAGGGCATGAAAAACACAGATGCTGGGGCCCTGAGAAAACATGCTTTCTTGATATGTAGGGTTTAGGGCTTAGGGTTTTAGGTTTCTGGAGGTCCAACTTGTCCTAAAATCCTAAACTCGAAAAGAGGGTTTAGGGTTTAGGGCTTAGGGAAATCCCATACCAGAAATCTTGAACCCTGAGCCCTAAACCCTATCGTCACACAAGCGCTGCTTGCTTTTTCTCGGGTGTCGGGCTTAGGAGCCCCGCAGGATTTGCAGAAGGTGGGCCTGTCCACATCCTTGCCCTCATGTAAACATCATTATAGAAATCTCCTCTAAAGTAACAAAGCTCTGTAATTGTCCTTTGTAGTCTAATTTCAAGTCTATTGTACATGTTATACAAGCAGGGGTCGTGACATGTTCGGGGTACCCTAAGCCCTAGGAACCTTGAGGCCCAAACCCTGGTATACTTGTGGGCGTTTAGGCTACTTATTGTAGTTTCTAAAAGGCGAAAGTCCTAAGAGCCAGCCAGAAGCAAGCCAAGTTTTTGTGGTGGTGATGATGTGGCACTTCGAGGACGCGAGGGGCTCCAAACGGGGCGAAGACCACCAGCCCTGAAACCCGCCTGGAGGGATGTTCAGGGCGCAACCCTAGACCCTAAACCCTGAAACCCTGAAACCCGAAACCCTAAACCCTAAACCCCAAAACCCCAAACCCCAAACCCTAAACCCTGCCTGAAACCTTAAACCCTAAACCCTAAACCCCTAAGGCCTGAAACGCTTTGTAGCTCCGGCCTGCTCACCTCGCAGACGCCCAAAACGGCATTCAGAGCAATGACCTGGGGCCATGGGCTTGCAAGGACCGGGGCCCCGAATACCCAATATAAACCCTGCACGCAAACAATAAATACAACAAATATAATAATATGTATAGATATATTATATACATATGTGCATATTCATTTATATGTGTATTTGCATTGTTGATTTCATTTCTGTTTAAGTTTGAAATTTACATCTCTCTCTATAGAAAATCGTATACATAACATCTATATATATATATAGAGAGAGATATACATACATATATATATATATATGCACAGCTTGAGCAAGGGTTCCCATGTTCTCCTCACTACATATCATGAGGATACATATTTTCGATATGCAATGTGCGTACGTATGTACGTGTGTATGTATGTATGTATGTATGTTTGTATGTATGTAATGTATGTATGTATGTATGTATGTATGTATGTATGTATGTATGTATGTATGTATGTATGTTTGTTTGTACACTTTGAGCAGTTCTCGAGATTAGGATCTCTTTCGGGTACCACGAAAATACGGCTCCACATTGCAGTGGTACCTTCATTGAGAAAACTACCTAAACTCTAAACCGTGAACCTGGAGCCCCGAAGCCTGTTTAGGGGTTAGGCTTCATGGGAAGCTTAGGATCAGGCCAGGTCCCCCCTTTAAAACGCAAACAGCGGCTCAAACAGGGGAGCGCAAGGGCCCAGAAACAAACAGTCGAAACTGAGTCGAAACCCTACTAAACCCTGGCAACAACCTATTGAATCCGAGCCGAAAGCCTACTGCACCCTAGCACAACCCTATTAAACCCTCCTAAACCCTCCTAGCCCGTCTCAGATCCCTGGCAAACCTTAGGCCCAAACAAACCCTAAAGACAAGCCTATGGCTTAGGAACGCCACACCCCGTGAACTACGAATCCGTAGCCTTGAAACAACTAACCCTTAACCCTTAACCCTAAACCCTAAACCCTAAACTGGATGCCCAAATAGTAGCCTCATGAAGCCAGTGAAGCTCGTAGTGTGTTGGGGTACTGTTGGGGGCCTCCATCTTCGGGAGATGGCATAAAGCCTTCAGACAACAACACCCGAAACCACCCTTGCACAACTATAGGCCCCCGAAACCCTAAACCCTCAACCCTAAACCTTAGACCCTAAACCCTAAACCCTAAACCCTAAACCCTAAACCCTAAAGCCCAAAACAAACAAAACCTTGTCCGGGAGCCGCGCATCTGGCAGGCATTCGGCGTCCAGGGCAGCTTGCAAGAGCTGAACCGCCTAGCCGTTCGGATGGGGTTTAGGGAGCCCCTAAAGCCTAAACCCTAAACCCTAAGCCCTAAACCCTAAACCCTAAACAATCAAGACATTGGGGATCAGGGCGGAGTCTGAGCTCTTGATGGGGGGGCAGGGGCAGGGGAGAAGGTTTGAGCCGACTGTCATGGGAGTGCAAGGAGTCCTGCTTCGGGTTGCGGGTTTCGGGTTAGGGTTTAGGGTCTAGGGGTCTAGGGTTTACGGTTTAGGGCTTCGGGTCTAGGGGTCTAGGGTTTAGGGTTTCGGGTTTCGGGTTAGGGTTTAGGGTTTAGGGATTTAGGGATTAGGGTTTAGGGATTTAGGGATTTAGGGTTTAGGATTGAAGGTGGTTAGAAGTTTAGGATCTTATGTTCATGGCCATTGCGCGCATTGCCTGCGTCTCGGCGGCGCTAGCGATGCGAGGTTCGCTGATAAGCGACGCCCTCGGAACCACACAGAAGATCCCACGCTGCCTTGGAAGCTGCGCTGCCTTGGAAGTTGTATCGGCGAGAAGAGGATCCCGGCAGAAGAGGGTAGGACCATGTGTGCGGCGTCTCGGCAAATCAGCGAGATGCGCGGCATGTGGAGCTCCCTCAGGAGTCGGCCCATCTTCTGGGCGTACGCGACCCCGTCCGCACAGAATGCCGTGGTCTTGTTCCTTTGCCAAATCGGCATGCACGAGTCTAAGTATGTCTAAGTCTACCACGGCGCTTTCTCTTAAACTACTCCTCTAGGATTCACTAAGGTTAGCACCCCATATGGGTAGATCTCTACAATAGGATTCCTTTTTGGGGTCCATTGTTGTAAGGGATATACGACCTCGCAAGAGATTAGGGTTTAGGGTTTAGGGTTTAGGGTTTAGGGTTTAGGTTTTACTTAATCTGGGTCGGGACTTAAACATCTTCTACAGTGAGCTTCTCGAGGCAATAGGGGGCCTGGATCTCCCCGATGGCTGGGATAGTGTTAAGAACCTAGATATTTATATTCCTTATTGAGTTCAAGTATACCTTTAACAACTTAAGTCTATATTCCTTACTATTGAGTTTAAGTACCCTTAAAAATGCAAAATGCTACCCAACAATGACAAAGAATTGTGGTGACAGAGTTGGGCCTGTTCTTCAAGCACCGAAGCCGCACCGAAGCCTAGACCCTGAACCCTAAACCCTAAACCCTGAATCCTAAACCCTAAACCCTGAACCCTAAACCCTGAATCCTAAACCCTGATTCCTAAACCCTATACCCGCTAAACCCGCTAACCCCTAAACCCTAAACCCTATACCCTAAACCCTAAACCCTAAAGCCTGGCTTTATGAACCCTAAGGCCTAAGCCCTAAACCCGAGCCGCAGGGAGTTTGCCGCGGAGGAATCTGAGGAATTGAGACTGTCAGAAAGCGAGACTGACGGGTTTAGGGTTTAGGGTTTAGGGTTTATAGGGTTTAGGGTTTAGGGTTTAGGGTTCAGGGTTCAGGGTTCAGGCCCCGGGCTTCCTGGGCCCTTAAGCCCCACATGCCGTGCACCCTGTACATATTTCACGAAATGACAGAAATAAATCTCCCAAGGGCCCCCGTAGAAGCTCCGTGTATGCGTCTTGCTGATTGAATGCAAGAAGCTCGTGTACAAGGAGCCGGACCCTGAACCCTAACTCCTAAACCCTAAACCCCAGCCCCTAAACCTTAAACTCCAAGTCCAAAGATCCAAACCCTACCACCGCCTGCACCCCCGCCGAATAAGAAACGACACTAGCTCAAATCAACCGCAAGCTTCTAAGGAAACCCTAAACCGTAAACCCTAAACTCTAAACCCTAAAGCCTAAACCCTGAAGCCGAGGACGAGCCTTTTGCCATGGGGCGCCCATCTCCACTGGCGAGATTGCCGCGCCTCGTCTTGGACTAGACTTCAGGCTTCTCGGGATTTTCGGGTTTATAGGGCTTAGGGCTTAGGGTTTACGTCCCCTAAACACGAAACACACCTCAGAAAATACGAATCAGCCTGTCGAAAATTGCTCCCATTGGGGAACGGGACTTGACACTAAATACTCAAAACAAACACAAACAAATTATCTTGCATCAGCTATGGAGATGTACGCGTAAACTAAGGGCATTCTCAGAGATGTGAGTCCGAGACGCTCTAGATGCTTTAGCCCATTCAAACCACTACAGTCCCACAAAAGGGTTTAGTTTGGGGTTTAGGGTTTAGGGTTAGGGTTTAGGGTTTAGGGTTTAGGGTTTAGGGTCTAGGGTTTAGGGTTTAGGGTTTGACTGCAACCACGATGCAGAAGGAGGCGGTGCTCAGCCGGACACCTCCTTGAAGGCAGGGAAACGGTCTTGGGGGCTAAATTATGTAGTCCAGACACTCATACAACCCACCCTTCTGGTACAGGGCCTTAAGTCGTGGCAGCTTGCTTCAAACCTTTGTCGCGGCTTGTCGCACGACCTTCTGAGGGGGTGGGCGGGCGGGGGGGCGGGTTGCAGGTGACCCCCTCAGGGGTCTGCTACAAGCTTGACTCCTGAACGACAGCCATACACTTCAAAGCGCACTACAAGTAATAAGGACCGAACAACAGTCGCGATCCTAACTCCAGCCTACGACGCCTGAACTTTCCCCTTTTGCCTTGAACCCTAAAACCCCATAGACTGCCATAGGCATGCGAGGATTGTAGGGATCGAAAGAAAAACTTCGAGCTGCGAAGCTCTGGGCGTAGGCCTATAGGCCCTCCTCCAAAGGATCGTCATCGGGGCGTTGGTGTTTTTGAACTACGTAGGATTGCCCTTAAAACCCTCTGAGCAATATTCCTGAAGATCATTCACGTAAACACCCTAAACCCTAAACCCTAAACCCCAAACCCCAAACCCTAAACCCTAAACCCTAAACCCGAAACAATAAGGGAACACACCAAACGTCCCAAGGCCCTACCGAGTTCAGTTTGATCCCAGCAGCTTCTTTGCATCACCCCAAGCAGGGCCATCGCCAGCTGCCAGGCACCTGCAGCAAGCAGGGTTTAGGGTTTGGGGTTTGGGGTTTGGGGTTTAGGGTTTAGGGTTTAGGGTTTGGGGTTCAGGGTTTGGGGTTCAGGGTTTAGGGTTTGGGGTTAAGGGTTTAGGGTTTAATTAGGGTTTAGGGCAATCAACTTCCAGGATGGGCCATCGGGGTTGATAACCCGAAAACCCCCTGACATCCCTAAGCCTACCCCGGTGTTTGGCATTCTGGGTCTCCACGATGGAAAACGGCGGGGGGTGGGTGGGGGGCTCTCAATGGAGATCTTTTGGCCCTAAAAGATCCTAAACCCCAAGCCCTAAGGAAACCCTAAACCCTAAATCCTGAACCCTAAACCCTAAACCCTAGACCCTAGACCCTAAACCCTAAACCCCAGACCCTAAACCCTAAACCCTGAACCCTGAACCCTGAACCCAGAACTGGGAGCCCAAAGCCCAAAGCACATCCCGCCTTCGCTGGCGCAAGCTCCCATGGCAGCATGGAAGCCTCGGGCGCATCCACAGGGACTTCGGGGCTTGGGGGTTTAGGGGGTTTAGGGGGTTTAGGGGGTTTAGGGGGTTTAGGGGGTTTAGGGGGTTTAGGGGGTTTAGGGGGTTTAGGGGGTTTAGGGTTTAGGGTGTAGGGTTTAGGATTTAGGGTTTAGGGGGTTTAGGGGTTTAGGGGTTTAGGGTTTAGGGGGTTGAGGGGTTGAGGGGGTTGAGGGGGTTTAGGGGGTTGAGGGGGTTTAGGGGGTTTAGGGGGTTTAGGGGGTTTAGGGGGTTTAGGGGGTTTAGGGTTTGGGGTTTGGGGTTTGGGAATTGGGGTTTAGGGTTTGGGGTCCGCCGACCCTGGCGGCGTGTTGGATGGGAAAAGGAAGTGAAAACCTCCCTCTTTCCCTCCTTACCCCCCCAAAACGCGGGGGGGGGTAGGGGGGGGTACCCGGGCAGCTTTTCCATGGAGAGGCCACCCACGCATAAACTCACGGATCATAGGCGGTTTCCACAGGACATTGGGGTCCCCCCCCTACCCCCCCCCCCCCCCCCCCCCCCCCCCTACCCCCCCTCCCTACCCCCCCCCTTTGGCGGTTGTTGGGGCTTGAATTGATGGGGCTCCCCTCCTTCAAGCTGGCGGGTCCTGGTGCTCCCCCTACCCCCCCCCCCCCCCCCCCCCCCCAACGTTTCACAGAGGCTCAAGCAAATCAACTGTTGGCATCCTTAAACCTTTCAACTATGCTCCAGCGGGGTCGGCGGCTCCGGCTGTTAAATTTGAGGTTTGGGGTTTGAGTTTAAGGTCAGAGGTCGGGTTGCAAGGTTTAGGCTTACAGGGTTGAGGTGTAAGGGCTCAGAGCCAACTACCCCCCTACACAACATCAGGCCCGGGCCAACGAAAAGCTGCACATTTTTAGGGGAAAGTGTGGTTTGGGTGGGAAGTAGGGTGGGATAGGACCCATAGCTTGGGATTTTCCCCATTATACTAACACTCCTCAATCGGGATTCAACTACCCCGATTATAATCCCGATTAATGACTGTGAGGTATAAGGGGGAACATCACAACCCAGAGCCTCAATAAACCCTAAACCCTAAAACCATAAAACCCTAAACCCTAAACCCTAAACCCTAAACCCTAACCCTAAACCCTAAACCCTAAACCCTAAACCCTAAACCCTAAACCCTAAACCTGCGGGCTTCTGGTCCAAAATGTAGGGGCGCGACTGAACTCGTTGGGCGTCACGCTTGCATCCTTGGCGGCAACTACGCGCGAGGCCATAAAAGCTGCAGGGTCTAGGGTTTGGGATTTAGGGTTTTAGAGGGTAGAGGGTTTAGGGTTTAGGGTTTAAGGCTAGGGATCCGGGATCATCATTTGAAAGCCAACCCTCCAAGCCCCAAGAGCTGTTGAGGTCTTTGGCTTCTTAAAGGGAGCTTCATGGCAAGTTATGAGGAACCCCTTAGGATCCCTTTTAAGCCCCCCTTTAAACCAAAAAGGCACCCTTTCATTCCTAGGTTCCTCTTGGGTCTAGCCAGGGGGTCCAGTCATAGATAGTACTGCTGTGGAATTGGGTGCCCAAAACGGCTATTGAGTATGACTTCAATTCCACAATCGTACTACACATGGAACCTCTGGGTAAGTTTAGTTCACCAATCAGAGCCATAGCTGGCCTACTTCTAGCTCCAGCTGTACGAAGCTCCAGGATCTAGCTTGGGGTTTAGGGTTTAGGGTTTTGGGTTTAGGGTTTAGGGTTTTAGGGTTTAGGGTTTGGGGTTTAGGGTTGCCCACACCCTGAACCCTGCTAAGCCCTTTGCAACCTCCACGCCTTGGGCCTCAACGGGTTTAGGGTTTAGTGTTGAGGGTTTGGGGTATAGGGTTTTGGGTCTAGGGTTTACGGGGGGGGGGGGGGGGGGGGGGGGGGAGGGCTGAGGCGCACAACTACGGCCCTCTGCCTCCTATTTGAACCCCAAACCGCAGGCGGCCCAGCTGCGTCCATCTCCCACAGCAGCACCAGTGTTGCCTGCCACTGAGCGCCTCAAGAGCACATGAGTCGGCCATGTGGGTTTTAGAGGTTTTGGGGCTTGATTCTTCAGGGGTTAAAAGGACAAAAACCGTAAGCCCCCAAGCCCTACAAACCCTAAACCCTTGGGATGTAGTGGTGATTTTGTCCACTGCCTGCGTGCACACACAGCGGACCCTGTAGAAACCCACACCCTGCAAAGGGTTAAACCCATAGACCAACAAAACACCCTATTATGGACCCCATAGAAACCCTTGATCGACCCTATATACACACACCCTAAACCCTAAACCCTAAAGAGGCTTTAGCAGCTTCCAGGTTCGAGGATCCGGCCTCTGCTGTAGGCCGCCATGGCTGAGCTGTATGTGACGACATCCTGGTGCGAGCAGGGGGAATTACTTTTTTAGGGTGTAGGGCGTAGGGTGTAGGGTTCAGGGTTCAGGGTTCAGGGTTTAGGGTTTAGGGTTTGGGGTTTAGGGTTTAGGATTTAGGGTCTAGGGCTTGCACTTGAAGGCTCATGGGTGGCTAGAAGGACCCTTCTTAAACAAGGCTTCAACCATACTTGCCCTACTTTTAACCCTACTTGCAATGTACCCATGGACCTCCAGGGGTCTAGGGCTGAGGCATTAGGGTTTAGGGTTTAGGGTTTAAGTGTTTAGGGTCATCGTAGAAGAGGGCTGAGAAACACACAAGAAGAAAACACACACGGACATGAATAAACATGGATACGTGTATTCAATATACACACACACACACATCCACGTACATACATACATATATACACATATACACACGTGCACACATGCATACATACATGCATGCATGCATACATACATACATACCTCACTCAAACCGATATGTATGTATATACGTGTGTATATATAGAAATAGATATAGATATGCACATATGTATATATATATATATATATAGAGAGAGAGATATCCGCATATATATATATATACATATATATATATATATGCATATGATATGATATGGTCTTGGGCCCTGGGGCCCTGCTCCCCCCCTCCCCTGGTATCCCCTAAGCCCTAAACCCTCAACCCTTGACCCTCCATCGACCCTGCCTGACGAAGCTGCACTTCGGTGAGTAACGCAAACAAAGACAGGGCCAGGGGCCAGGGCCCATCCTCGTTTCAGAGTGGAGGGTTGGGGTTTAGGGTTTAGGGTTTAGGGTTTAGGGTTGAGGGTTGAAAGGGTTTCGGGTTTAGGGTTTAGTGAGCATTTGTAGGGCTTGAAGCAGCAGCACTTGTATAAAAGGATTTGCATAGGGATTTTTCGTCTGGGGCTCCAGCTTCAGTTGAGATTCTTGGGTCTGGGGCCTTGGTGTTCGGGGCTTGTATGCTGGTGCTGGGACTCTGTCCCCCCCCCCCCCCCCCTCCCCCTCGGCCCAAAAAACAAAACATACCCTGAGGGTCCATGTACCTATATCGTATAGACTTGGGGGCTTGAATGGGTTCCCGTGTACTAGCTTTAGGGCCCAAGTATCTACTATATACGTTCATGGGCCCGTTCCTTGTTTCGAAGGGGGTGCAAACAACCCTACGATTCGAAGGCGGAAAAGTAACTCAAGGAGGAATTTTCAGGGATGATGCCCTCTGACCAAGGAAGGATTTAGGGTTAAGGGTTTAGGGTTGACCCTGCGCCTGATACTGCACTTCTACCACCCTTAACGGAACCCCACCCTCAAGCCTGCGATGTGAACTAGAAGTATGAACGGCCCCAGCAGGGGCTGCATTCAAGTGCCTGGGGGCAAGCCAAAACCCCAGAACCCATACAATGGTAAAGCCTTTATCTTTACAGAAGCCCTGAAACTTCCTAGCCGCAAACCCTACAACCCCAAACCCTAAACCCCAAACCCTGTTACCCTGAAAAGTTTCTTCAACCCTCAACACTAAACCCTGAAACCCTAAATCCTAAACCCTAAACCCTAAACCCTAAATCCTAAATCCTAAATCCTAAACCTGCCAATTCTGCCACAGTGTCCTTCTCGCAGGCGGTCATGACTGCGGCGAAGCTTACGACGTCCCTGCGTAGGCCGGCCTCCTTTGCTGCGGCAACCCTGAAACCTATGGGGTTCGGGCTAGGGTTTAGGGTTTAGGGTTCAGGGTTTAGGGTTTAGGGTTTCGGGGGTTTAGGGCCTAAGGTTGAGGGTTTAGGGTCATATACAGTACACTAACTCCCAAGAACCCGAACAAGAACTAGTACCTAGTAGGTTGGGCGGCTTGTGTGTTGGAGCTTCGGCTCGAACGTGTGAAGGTCCAGAGAAGCCACTAGTACACACTGAATCAAGGGTTTGGGGTTTAGGGTTTAGGGTTTAGGGTTAGGGGATATAAGGTTTCGGGCTGAGGGTATAAGGTTAACCTGAATGGCTTTTAGGGTTCAGGGCCGTTATGGCTTCTATCGAAACTGAAGGAACATGCCTTGAAATAGTGTCATGGGGCCCTATTCTGATTCATGAGATCTTCCTGAATGTGCAGGGTGTTGGGGCACGGCCGAGGCACGACCTGACGCCTCCAAGGTTTAGGGTTTAGGGTTTAGGGTGTAGGGTGTAGGGTTTAGGGTTTAGTGACCGTTTAGGGGGATTGTACCCATCTTTACACCCTGACCGTCCGACTGACAACGCAGGGCTCAGGCGCGTATCGCTTTCGCAGTTTGGGCATCAAGCTCTGGGTGTAGTATTTAGGGTTTAGGGTTTAGGGTTTAGGGTTTAGGGTTTAGGGTTTGTAAGGTTTAGGGTGTAGGGTTTAGGGTTAAGTATCTATCAGGTTCTTCTGGGAGGGGGGCTCAAGGGGGGTATGTAACCCAAGGTTCCCCAATACTCCCCACTACTCCCCAAGGCTCCCTAAGCTTCCCTAAGGTTTCCTCGGTACCTGCCCCCCCATGAACCTCCCTCGCTTAAGAACCCTATAAGGGTGGGCCTAGACCCAAAACCCCTTAGCCAGCTGAATGTACACATGGTAGAAACATTCGGTTTTCTTATGCCCTATACCCTTGGCTTCTTCGGGTTTTGGCCTTTAGAGTCTCGGCTTCAAATGCCTTTAACTCAAAGCTTGCGGCGAAGTGGCTTAAGCTGAAACCCCCAAAGTGCATCTTCGTTGTCACAATGGTTGAGACATGGTGCCTCGTATGTGATCCCGTCTTCAAAGCAAAATTACGTCATAAGACCAAAAGCGCGAAACACCCTGTGAACACAAAAGCCCCGAAATCCCTAGCCCCATCCCCAGAACCCTAAACCCCTAAACCCCCACAGCTTCTCGCCAGATTTCCGACATGGCTGACAGCAGGGAGAGTGCCAAATCCCATCGGCCGGCCTTGCCACAGGCCTCGGAAGCTCAGAGGGGCTTGAGGCATACCCTAAACCCTAAACCCTAAACCCTAAACCCTAAACCTAAACCCGAAACCCTAAACCCTTTTTAGGGACTTACGATTTCGGAGCTCCGAACCTTCTTTAAAGGGCTGAGGACACCCCCCCCCCCCCACCCCCCACAACCCTAAAACCCCTAACTCGAAGGGGGGCTTGAGTGGTGTGGCTTTCTTTGGGATCAACCCTGGATGGCTCTGAGGCTCCATTGGGAATAGAACCGTAAGAGAGGATGTATAAGGGATGCAAGCGGAACCTCAGCCCTAAACCCAATATACTGCATAAGCCTTACACACCCCCTAAACTTTAGACACTAAACCGGAAACCCTAAACCCTAAACCCTAAACCCTAAGAGCCCTAAACCCCAAACCAAAAAATATACTTTAGTGTTTAGGGTTTCAGAGTGTAGGAAACGCTTTTGGGGTTGAGCGCTGGAGGGTTTGAGGTGTAGGCGTCAGCATCAACCTTCTGAACCCGACAGCCTATATTCGAGACTCTAAAGCCTGAACCTCCTTAACTCTAAACCCTAAACCGTAAACTCTACACCCTCAACCTCCTTAACACCTAAACCCGAAACCCTAGACCCTAAACCCTAAACCCGAAACCCTAAACCCTAAACCCTAAACCCCTTTTGAGAGTTGGTCGGGTGGGGGGGGGGGGGGATCGGCTTCCGATTTCCGGTCGGAGGCTTGGGGGCCTGTGAGACTTCGTGCTGGCAGGCCACGCTGATGACGCCTCAGATATGAGAGTTTAGAGTTTGGAGTTTAGGGTTTAGGGTTTAGGGTTTAGGGTTTGGAGTTTGGAGTTTAGGGTTCAAGGTCTTGAGTTTAGGGTTTAGGGTTGGGTCTTGAGTGTAGGGTTTGGGTTTCGGGCTAATAAAGATCTGTAGGGTTCAAGCAGACTCCAGAGTTGCTTTACGTCTCAGGCCCTGCAGATTCTGTGTCTGCATGGCCCGGCGCGACAGCACAAAGAAGCATTGCGAAACTGAAGAAACAGTCATGAGAGCTACCCCGGCCCAACCCGAACCATGGCTTACCGAAGGGTCTAAGCATACTGTCAGTACACCACTTGAAACCCCTGAACACGAAAACCTAACCCCCACCCCCGCCCCAACACCACCTCAGACTTGCCAATAGGGTTTAGGCTTTAGGGTTTAGGGTGTCTGTTGTTTACAGATCTACATGCCGTATGTACGTATCCAGGAAACGCCAAGACGCCATTAACACTGACAGCATCTCTTTCAGGAAGACCGGCGAGCAGCGCCACGGCTGCTTGCCACTGGCCTAGCTACAGCATGCGGGTTTCGGGTAGGTTTAGGGTTTAGGGTTTAGGGTTTAGGGTTTAGGGCTTAGAGTTTAGGGTTTAGGGTTTAGGGTTTGGATTAGGGTGTAGGAAAACGATGGAGCGCTGAGGGCTGAAAAGGGCGTAGAGGGCTTGGCAGTTTAAGAGGTTTTAGGTTTAGGTTTTGGGGTTCCAGGGTTCAGGCAGCAAGGTTTGAAGCTTTGAGGGCTTAAGGGGTTCGAGCTAGAAAGGAGGGACACTTGGACCCTAAAGCTACTCTATGGGAACCCCTTTCAGGCCCAAATATATCCTGTACAGGGGTACATGGACCCTTGGGGGGTTTAGGGGGGGGTGTTGCAGGTGGACTAGGCTTTGGTTTTGGGACGCAAACGCGATACCCTAAACCCTAAACCCTAAACCCTAAACCCTAAACCCTAAACCCTAAACCCTATTGCCTGCTTTCTCGCAGGCGCTGATGGCAGCACGGAAGCCTGGGCTCGCCAAGCATTCTCGGCAGGTTCTACCCAAATTGGGGGCTTTGGGTTGGGATGCTCCCCCCTATACCAACAGAGGTTTAGGGTTTAGGGTTTAGGGTTTAGGGTTTAGGGTTTAGGGTTTAGGGTTTAGGGTTTAGGGTTTAGGGTTTAGGGTTTAGGGTTTAGGGTTTAGGGCTCTTAAACCCAATAGGTTGGGACGTTCCCCCTTATACTCACAGTCCTTAATCGAGATGATAGTACCCCCCCCCCCCCCCCCCCCCCCCCCCCCACCTAAACCCCTAAACCCCTAAACCCTAAACCCTAAACCCCTAACCCCCTAGTAGAACATAGGTATAAGGGGTAACATCCCAAGCTTTAGGGAGTCGGGATTAGGGCTTGGGGCCTCCTTGGAGGGTTGAGGGTTTAGGGTTTAGGGTTTAGGGTTTGGGGTTTAGGGCAGACCCTCTAACGCTTCTACGGCAGTACAGCCCCATAAAAGCCTAAACTACCCAACTGTATACAGCCATTTTTGCTCTAAGTAGGTTGTAGCTTGCGCTACCCCCCCCCCCCCCCCAAAAAAAAAAAATGCAACCCGTGAGAGCTATAGCCTACTCATAGACCCAGCTATAACGACCAGAACTGCCCATGAACCTCCAAGTAAAGGTCATGGAATCCCAGGCCCTCAAACCCCAAACCCTAAACCCTGAACCCTATACCCTCAACAGTGCCCAGAAGCAGAAGCCATCCGGCAGAATTCTCTCCCCCGACCTCGGCAAAGGGGGGGGGGGGTCAGCTTTCTGGATCCTCCCAGACTCCCAAGCCTCCGGGTTTATTAGGGTTTGGGGAAGCCTCATCAGCAATCCTTATACATAAAACCCAGCCACACAAAGCTCATACAGCCTACTACTACTACTTCAACCCCGAGGAATCGACCCAAACAAGCTCCGAAGAAAAAACGCAGCAAACAAACAAACAAAAACAAACTTTGCCCTACACCCTAAGCCCTAAGCCCTAAACCCTAAGCCCTAAGGCCCTAACTCTGAAGCCTAAACCCTGCTGAAAACTCCCTACGAAATGCCGGCAGATTGCATGTCTTGAAGGAGCGCGTTGGCCTCTCGCCACCTTCGGCTGCGTGGTTCGGGATTGAAGTTTCAAGCGTTTAGGGTTTAGGGTTTAGGGTTTAGGGTTTAGGTATTTTTTCAGGGTTTAGGGTTTAGGGTCCGCCGACCCTGGCGGCGTGTTGGATGGGAAAAGGAGGTGAAAACCTCCCTCTTTCCCTCCTGACCCCCCCAAAACGCGGGGGGGGGGGGGGGGGGGGGGGGGGGGGGGGGGGGGTAGGGGGGGTCGGTGCACAATTTTTTCGTGGAGGACCGCGCCACCCGCACAGCGTAAACAGGCGGTTCAGCACAGGGGGGTAGGGGCGCCCTCAGCAAAATCAGCGTTTTCGCCCCCCCCCCCCCCCCCCCCCCCCCCCCCCCCCCCCCCCCCCCCCCCCCCCCCCCCCCCCCCCCCCCCCCCCCCCCCCCCCACCCCCCCCCCCCCCCCCACCCCCCCCCCCCCCAACCCCCCCCCCCACCCCCCCCCCAACCCCCCCCCCCCCCCCCCCCCAAACCCCCCCCCCAACCCCCCCCCCCCCCCCCCACCCCCCCCCCCCCCCACCCCCACGCCTTTTTTGGCTTGAGCTTGTGCTGGTGCTACCCCCTACCCCCCCCCCAAACGTTTCACAGAACTCTGCCGAGCATTCTCAAATGAGTTTAGACCAGCGGGGTCGGCGGCTTGAGCCGGAGGCTCTTAAATTTAGGGTTTAGGGTTTAGGGTAGCCTACTTACAAGCATTTGTGAATTTTCAAGTAGGGGATCGGGGCCTTTGGGGTTTGGGGCCCTAGACCCTCTGAGAGCCTAAAAGGGGGTCTAAGCACTTTCAGCTGCGCAAGAGGCGCTGTCAGCTGATCATGAGGGATGGGCTTAGGGTTTAGGGTTTAGGGGGTAGGACTGACACTAGAGAAAAGGCGTGAGAGTGCCCCTAACAGAAAAGGCTCCCTCCCAGAGGCTTGGTCTTTGTAGGGAAGATTTGGGAAAGAGAGGAGGTACCCCTAAACCCCAAAAACTTTAGGGAGCTGTGCTTCATCTAGCTCACAAGGTGGAACCTTCAACCCTTCGCCTCGGTAGGCTCTAGGGTGTAGGGTCTAGAGTCTAGACTAGGATGGCCCTTAACTCCTCTAAAACATATTCCGAAATAGGATCCTCTTAAACCCAATAAGGGAAGCATATGAAACATACCAAGGGCCTACCCAGTAGAGCATCAAGGGTTTGAGTTTAGGCTCTGGGGCTGATACGACATCAAGCATCCCTCGCCCCCCCGCCCCCCAACCTCCGAAGCCTTGCAAACCTGGTTTAAGGTTTGGGGTTTAGGGTTTAGGGTTTAAGGTTTGGGGTTTAGGGTTTCGGGGTGTTCGAATTTGGGGTCCTATATTGGGGGCTCCTCTGTTTCCGTGACCCCCCATTTCGGGGGGGCCCCCTCCCTGCCTCCCGGCTGTCGCCAAGGCGCCCAGCAGTCCACCGTAAGAGGCCTGAAAAACTATGCCCGATTCTTGCATGGAATCGGGTTTTGCTTTAGGGCTTAGGAGTCTAGGGTGCGCTTGAAATCGGTTGGTCCCCTAAACGCTGACGGGAGATTAACAGCTGTAAAGCTCAGCCCGTCCTACGCCCCCTACGCCCTGCACACCTCCCTGAACCCGACGAAGGGGAGTGAAGGGGATCCGTCAGGCCCTAAGGGTCCATGTACCAAGATAGGGAATACTTGGCCCTTATAAAGTACTTCCTACTTAAGGACTTTGGGGCCCAAGTATATAATAATGAGGTACATGGACCCTCAGGGAGGTGTCTTGCGATGGCGAGGCCACTCCTGTTATCCGTCGAAGCTCAGTAGCCTGGTGGTGAGCGCTCGGACCTGAATCATCTGAGGGCTTTAAACTTGAGGGTTTTCGGGTTTAGGTTGGCCCCGTAAGCTTTAAACTCTAAAGCTGCAGCTGAACTGCTGATCCCAGACACTCAATCCAGAACACCAGATCCGCCTACCCATCAGCCTCAAACCCTAAACCCAGACACCGTAAAACTCCCCAAAGCTCTGCCTGAAGGCTCCAATGTAGTTCCTTTTGTGGGCTTGTTCTGGGGGATTCTAGCACACTACCCCCAACAGGAAACCCTAAACCCGAAACCTTTAGTATGATTAGTATTATTATTAGCATTATTAAGATTAGTAGAAATACTTTTAGTATTCTTGGTATTATTAGTACTATTACTATGGTTAGTATTGTTAGTATTATTCGCAATATTAGTACTACTATGATTATCATCGTAGGAGCCTTTAGGTAAAGCTGCGCCTCATCCGGCGGAATCCTCACCACGGACATGTCGGACCTCAGCACGCAGGCAAACCGAGGGGCTTGGGTTTCTCCTAAACCCTGAACCCCCAGCCCTAAACCCTAAACCCTAAACCCCAAGCCCTAAACCCTAAACCCTAAACCCTAAACCCCAAACCCAGGCTTCGGAGGCCTAGTGGCATCTCTACTGCAGTCCTGGGATCATACTGATGGCGTTTAGCGCTTTGAGGTTTCGGGCATTTATGGGGGCCGGGGGGTTTGGCGTAAATCCGAAGCTTCGGGTTTAGGGTTCGGGGCTTACACGGACGGTTCAGGGTTCAGGGTTCAGGGTTCAGGGTTCAGGGTTTAGGGTCTAAGGCTTAGGGTTTAGGGTTTACAAACAAAGCAAAACAACATTGCAGGTCCATTTCTCGAAGGTCTGTGCATTGCGCTGTGGGCTTCGGGTTATCACATTCCATCGAAGTCTCAAACTCAATCGCAATCTCATCGCTGCTCCCAAACCCCGACCTCCAATACGTAAATCCTAAACGCTAAACGCTAAACACAAAACGCTAAACCCTAAACCCTAACCCCCCTCTGTGTGTTCCGCCGAAGGACAGGAGCTGCATTGCATGGGCTATGGCAAGGCCTCGGCCGCAGGCGGCGATGGCGCTGTTGTAGCTTACGGCGTCCTGCACCCAGAGAATTTGAGGAGGTTTTAGGGTTTAGGGTTTAGGGCTTCGTTGCCTGTAGTGCTCATGGGGCTTATGGGGCTCAAGGGTTTCGGGTGTAGAGCTTTACTTGTATTGTAGGGCTTATAGGGCTTGTGGGGCTTAGAGGGTTTATAGGACTTATAGGGCTTGTAGGGCAGGTGGGGCTTAGGGTGTAGTGCTTAAGGCGTAGGGGTTTAGGGTTTTGAGCTTATAGGGCTTCTAGGGTTTGGGTGTAGAGCTTATAGGGCTGGTAGGGTTTAGGGCGTAGGGCTTATAGGGCTTATAGGGTTTTGGGTGTAGAGCTTATAGGGTTTAGGGTTTTGGGCACCTTCGCCTGATGCACCATAAGCCCTGTAAACCCGGCCCCCCCCCCCCCCCCCCCCTTTTCCCCCCAACCCTAAACTCTAAATCCTAAACCCTTTACATGTCCACAAGGCTTGAAGGGTTCTCCTCCCCTCAGAACTAAAGAGGCAGAATGGCATCTCTAAAATGGAGTTGAAAACAGTAATAAGCCTCATGATAGGGTTTGGGGCTTTAGGGTTTACTATACTGAACTTGGAGCCCTAGCAAAAAAATCGCTGCTTCTTAGAAATTATAGTATAGTGCCCAACACTTCAATTTTTCCCCAAGAATCCCTAAGTTTATAGCGGGGTTTTGGGGGGGGTTTAGAGGGCTTCGGGTTTACAGGGTTTGGGGTTTATAGGTGGTTAAACCTTAAACCCTAAACCCTAAACCCTAAACCCTAAACCCTAAACCCTAAACCCTAAACCCTAAACCCTAAACCCTAAACCCGAACGGAGTTTTTGGAATTGAGTAGTACTCGGAGAGAGTGTGCGTATCCTGGCCCCAGCAACTCCACATGGCCGCCTTGGAGAGCATCGCGCATCCCACAAATCCTTCTGGCCCGAAGCGGTGAGCGGTTGCGTTTTAGGGTTTAGGGTTTAGGGTTTATAGGGTATAGGGTTTAGGGTTTAGGGTTTAGGGCTCAATTTCAGGGGTCTCCTTGACGCGCCGCTTGATGCCCGTTCGAATCGAGGTGGCACAGCTCGCATTTGCGATGGCCATCCGGGAGCTAGGTAATGAACCGATCTTCAATGACCGGGTTTAGGGTTTAGGGTTTAGGGTTTAGGGGTTTAGGGGTTTAGGGTTTAGGGGTTTAGGGACCACATACTCACGACTGCCACCCTCAAATTCATGATCGACACAGAATCCGAACTCCCTGAACCCTAAACCTTACACCCCAAAATCTGAGTCCTTACAAATCCCAAGACCCCAAACCCTTAACCCTACACACCGTACCCTGAGTCCTTGCAAATCCTCAGACCCTAAACCAGCTGGGCCCAAACCCTAAGCCCTCAACCGCCAAGACCCCAAACCGTATAAATCCTCACAAACTCCAAACCCTAAACCAGGGTTGCAGTCCCCACGCAACGCGTGACGCGGCAGCGCCGCCAGAAGCCCCAGCGCTGAGGCCCAGTCGGAGGCCTCCCCGAAAAAACACGAACATGGAGGTTCAGGGGTTAGGGTTTAGAGTTCAGGGTTTTAGGCTTAGGGCTAATTACTCGGAAGTTCATGGGTGCTTATGAGTAGAGTTAAGCGTAGGGTAACTATGGTTACAGTCTTGAATAGAGTGATTTAAAACCCTTCTGAGTACCCATGAACCAAGTATGGAAGCCTGCTATTCAAACGCAAAAGCATGGGATTCAGGGATGGGGTGTTTAGCGTTGAGGTTTAGGGACCTGCTTGATTGGAAAGAAAGGTGATGGGTAATGTGGGCAGTGGTAGGGATGGTCAGGGGATAATCCCTGCACCCGAACTTCTTCGCTGTAAGATGACACTTCCCCCCCCCCCCCCCCACCCCAGTTTCGGGTTTAGGGTTTAAGGAGGCTGAGGGTTTAGGGTTTCATGGACAACCTGTTCACACCACTGTGCCTGCCCGCAGGCGTTGATCACCACGTTGTGGCTCACTAAGCCAGAGGCAGCCTGCACCATTTACCCTCAACCCTCAACCCTAAACCCTAACCCCAACATTTCTATCTCGGACACTCCGCAGGATGGCGCTGGGAAGCTTCTCATTGAGGGCTGAGGGGGGTCCTCCCGCGGTGCAAGCAGGGCCAAGGCCATTCAATAGTGACTTTACGGCCCAGCCTTCGTGCTAAACTGACAAGCCCCTACGGGCCTAACCCCCTTAAGCCCTAAACCCCAAACCCTAAACCCCAAGCCCCAAAACCCAAGACCCCAAAATCTCAAACCCTAAACCCTAAACCCCAAACCCTAAACCCCAAACCCTAGACCCCAAAACCCAAAACCCTCCACCCCCACCCCCCTCCGGCCGAGCCGAGCAGCGGCAGCGCTGAAGCCCAGCCAGCCGCCGCGCGCGCCAGAGACGCCAACGCTCGCCCATGGCCTCGAAGATTTTCGGGGTTTTGGGGATTTAGGGTTTGGGGTTTCGGGTTTAGGTTTAGGGCTTAGGGGAATTGAGGTTTCTGGGATTTACAGGGTTAGGGTCTCGAGTTTTGGGGGTTTAGGGTTTAGGGTCGTCTATGGCCTTGATGTTTTGGGTTTTTTCGGGTTTGGGGGTTTTGGGGGTTTAGGGTTTAGGGTTTAGGGTCGGGGGGCTTGAGGTTTTGGGGTTTTGAGGTTTTGGGTTTGTGGGTTTAGTGGTTTTGGGGTTTCGGGCTTGGGGGGATTGAGGTTTTGAGTCCATATTGGGTTTAGTGGTTTTGGGGTTTCGGGCTTGGGGGGATTGAGGTTTTGAGGTCCACATCCATAATTGGAACGATCCAGGAACCTGCAGGTAGGTTTAGGGTTTAGGGTTTAGGGTTTAGGGTTTAGGGTTTAGGGTTTAGGGTTTAGGGTTTAGGGTTTAGGGTTTAGGGTTTAGGCCAGGTAGGTGGTTGCGTCGCTCGGCTCATGTCGTCGGGAGTGAGATCGGAGCTTCGCATGGCCGCCAGCAGATTGACAGTCACCTCAGCGGAGGGAAGGCCCGAGCCCCAAACCCCCAAACCCTAAACCCTAAACCCTAAACCCTAAACCCTAAACCCTGAATTCAAGGCCCAAAAAGCACAAACCCTTAAACTCATGCACCCTTGCACCCTGACACCCCTAAACAATTTAACCCCTTGGGGCTTAAGGATTCTTTAAGGTTCAGGGGTTTAGCAGTTCAGGGTTTAGGGGTTCAGGGTATAGGATTCAGGGTATAGGATTTAGGGTTCAGGGTGTAGGGTTTAAGGGTTGTTGAGGGTTTAGGGGTTCAGGGGTTTATGGTTCAGGGTTTAGGGTTTATGGAGGTTTAAGGTTTTTGAAGCGTTGTTTATGGGTTTTAAGGGTTTAGGGGTTCAAGGGTGTCAGCGTTTAGCGGCTTAAGGGCTTTGAAGGGTTTACGGGGTTGAAGGGTTTGCGGGCTTGTGTCAGCTTAGTCTTCAGGAAAGTCGTTAGTTCGGAGATTCGGGAACCCCTAAACCCTAAAACCCTAAAACCCTAAACCCTAAACCATAAACCCTACAGCATTCAGGGGTGCTCGGGCCTAGATTTCAGGGGTTCGGGCGAAAGCCTCGAGCTTCGGAGTGAAAGCCATGGTGCACAGGAGTGCAGCAATGTTTGGGTTTAGGGTTTTGGGTTTAGGGTTTAGGGTTTAGGGTTTAGGGTTTGGGGTTTAGGGTTTAGGGTTTAGGGTTTAGGTTTAGGGCTCAGAGTTGCAGGTATCAAAATCAGTCTACGATCAGAAGAAGCTCTCAAAAAGGCCAAGAGTTTTCTATCAAGACCCTAAACCCTCAGAACGGAACCCTAAACCCTAAACCCTAAACCCTCAAACCCCCTGGAACTTGAAATTATTAAGAAAAATCCAAAACGGAAACTCCCCGAAACTCCTCGAAACTTTCCCCGGACCTGAACCCTTAATAATTTCAATAAACCCTAAACCCTAAACCCTAAAACCCTAAACCCCCGCCTGCCATTGCGTCTCGCAGGACTCGATGGCGCTGTTGAAGCTGACGCTGGTCGCCTCAATTGAGTCCTTCTGGCAGCACTGGGGTTCAGGAGGGTTTAGGGTTTAGGGTTTGGGTTCAGGGTTCAGTGTTTAGGGTTTATGGGCCCCCTGAGCCACTCCTGCGCCATCCCAGGCAGAAGTGTCAGGGCACGCTGCCATTGTCGCGCCCGGCTGCAGCCGGAAATGGCGGCGTTGTACCTTGGAAGGCCAACCCTGAACCCTAAACCCTAAACCCTAAACCCTAAGCCCTAAGCCCTAAGCCCTAAGCCCTAAACCCTAAACCCTAAACCCTCTCTCACCCAAAGGGCATTTGGTGGGTCAGGGGTGCTAGGGCTTGGAACTCGAAAGCCAACGGGGAGCCCTTGCCCAACTGAAGTTGGGTTTAGGGTTTAGGGTTTAGGGTTTAGGGTTTAGGGTTTAGGGTTTAGGGTTTAGGGTTTAGGGTTTAGGTTTAGGGTTTACGGTTTAGGGTTTAGGGTTTAAGGTTTAGGGCTTAGGGTTCAGGGTTTGGGTTTTCATGGGGACTAGATGAAGCCTCTTAGACCCTGGACCACGATGATACCTAAGTCCTGAAGGCTCCAACGTCGTTCCTTCCTGGGGGCTATTTATGAACATCGATTCTAGTATACCACCACAAACAAGTACTTTAGGAGCCTGTGGTCGAAGCTGGTAGGCGACCCTGTTTGGCGCGCAACGCAGTATTTGGGTGCTTGAGGTTTGGTGGCGGGTTTTGGCAGCAGGTACCTGAAATCCTGAACGCCATAAAGTGCCAAAAGGCACCTTTGTGGTACCTTGTTGTGGGTAATATACTAGAATCCCCCAATGTATCCCTACATCTAGGCCAAAAGGTAACGACATGGGAGCCTCGCAGGTATAGTCGACAGACGAGGGGCCCAATAACGTTTGTCTGCAGCCGGGCCATCCGGATAGAACTGGCGCAAAGGGCAGGGAGTTGTAGTCTGGCTTGCAAAAAACACCGTCAACGCATAGACACCATGACTATACAAATTAAGGGGCCATGCATCAGAACCCTTTTAAAGGAGGTGAGGGACCATACTCAGGGCCCATGAAACTAGCGAAGCTGCCAGGCGATAGGTTTGTCAGGTCCCATCCGGGACCCTCTCAGCCCTGAACGCGAAGCCCTGAGCCGAACCAGAAAACGCGAACTCGAACATCCTAAAGTCCTAAAGTCCTAGACACTAAACCCCAGTTGAAGGGCAATGGGTGGTTCGCAGATGTCTTAAGAACAACTACCCCCTTCTCGAAACAGCTGGAACACAGCAAACATGAACCACCAGCATCAGCCAAAACGATAACATTCAAAAGATAAGTATAGTAGTGGCGAAACATAGTGCTCCGCTTTGGCTCTTGCTACCATGATCCAATAAATCGAGGTAATACGTCATTTAAGGGTACAATCAAGGAGATCCCTAACCCTAAACCCTAAACCCTAAACCCTAAACCCTAAACCCTAAACTTGCTAAACCCTAAACCTCGCACCTCAGCAAATGCAGCGCATGCTCCCATTGGGAGCCGTTGTCGCAGGCGCTGATCGCAGCGTTGAAGCAGATGCGGTCGGGGACGACCCTCCAAATTCCCAAGCTTCAGTTTGGGGTTTAGGGCTCGGGAGGGTGTAGGGTCGTGGGCTTAGGCGTGTTCAGTGGTGACATGAACAACCTCCAAACCGAGTGGCTTAGCGGCTTAGCCTGCGCTTCAGAAGGCGCAGTTTGCGGAAGTTTAGGAGCATCGGCAAGAATTCTGCTGTCGATCTTTTACAGTCTACACTAGGGTTTAGGGTTTCATAAGGATAGGGAAGCAAATGAAAAGAAAACAGCCATCGCAGACCTTGAGTTCGTTAACTGCTTTCGTACATTACCTTCCCCACGGTGTGGCTGTACCCATCCTCAGGGTGTGCCCCACGTCAGGTCCTCCTAGGGCTTAAGTTTGAGGGTCTAGGGTCTAGGGTTCAGGGTGTTTAGGGTCTAGGGTCTAGGGTTCAGGGTGTTTAGGGTTTAAGGTTTGTATCATGTATCTGCCAAAGCACTGCAAGGACTCCATCCACGTCCTGGGAGGCCAACCCTGCGCCCAAAACCCTTCAACCTGTCATGAAAATCAGCCCTGAAACCTACACCCTACACAGTCACACACACAAGACAAGCGCCACCCCCTCCACCGTGAACTCCAAGCCCCATAAGCCCTAAAGACTAAACCCTACACATCCCTACACTCTAAACCCTGAACCCGACACTCCCTACACCTCCCCCCCCCCCCCGCAAAACCCTAACCCCGAAACCCTAAACAACCCTAAAGAACCCCAAAACACCTGAGATCAGACTATGAGGCGCCCCACAACCGAAGCTGGCGGACATTGATAAATGTTTTCCGAGATTGCCCCACTGTTCTCGGGGTACCTACAGACATAACGGGCAAACAAACTAGAAATAGATTTGGTTGCATATGCGTATATACGCATACATACATGTATATACATATATACACACGTAATTATTTACAAGGCTTAGGATCGGGTTTGGGGTCGGGTTTAAGCTTAAGCGGTTTAGGGGAGAGAGAGAGAGGTGTTTCGTACACTTTAGCAGTAATGAACTATCTCCTTCTTGCTTCGTCGCCAAAGCCCAGAAGGCTGTGTAAGTAGGCTCAAGAGACCCAAGCAAAGCCTAATAAGCACCCTAGGATCCCAATCGTCTTCGGTGTCGCGACGATGTAGGGCGTTCCTTGTTGCTGCTGTCGTCCTAAAACCGTATACCCTACTTCACTGAGTCACTCCTTCCCTAAACCCTAAACCCTAAAACCCTAAACCCTAAAACCCTAAACCCTAAACCCTAAACCCTAAACCCAAGAGTCCCAAGCCCCAAGTCCCGCCCCCTCTACACTGCACACTGCATCTTGCGCCCTGAATCCTATAGAGTACCCCAGAAATCTGAATTGACCTCCAAGCATCAAAATGTAAAGCGCCAGTCGCCAGTGCCCTCCTTTTGGCACTTAGGGGCTTAGGCCGTGATCTAGGGTTTACCTTAATGGCTCCTGTGCAGTCCTTTTTGGGGTAGTATACTAGAACCCCCTGTAGCCAACCCAAGAAGGAACTTAGGGTTCCTATGGATTCCTATGACTGTGAAGATTTCGGCTGTGCGTACAATCAGGAATGCAAGAGCTCCCCATCTTCTAATGGCATGGCCTGTATGCGCACCAAGGGTTAGCCCGAAACCCTAAACCCTAAACCCGAAACCCCAAACCCAATGTACAGTCGGGTGGGCGCAGCCCCTGAGACCAGACATGAAAAAGGTTCTATTCATCCGAAGCCTCGTCTTATGACTGATGACAGACGTCCATGTCCAGCAATCTCGAGCTCGGCAACCCAACGCTACCTCCACACCCGGGAGTAACCTGGGAATAAAAAGGGTACCCTTTTTGGTTTTAAGGGGATTATGAGGGAACCCCAACCCTAAAAAGGAAAAAAGGGCCTACTCCCGGTCCCAGACGTAATCACGCTGTTCACAAAGGCCCGGGCCCCGTACAACAAACCCAAATTTCATCCTGGCGATGCCTTTCTCGCAGGAAGAAATCAGGGCGCTGAAGCAGACAACGTCTGGAAGCACTTGATCCTCCCGCCGGGGCGTGACCCCATTGTTTAGTACCTAGATGGGTCCTGGGGCTAGCAAAGGGCCAGGGGAATGTCCTAAACCCTAAACCCTAAACCCTAAACCCTAAACATGTGAAGGGCTAAGCCAACCTCACGATGTTTGACAAGTCGACTCCTGTGGACTTTTTGACAGAAGAACGGCACAGAATGCTAGAAGGCTTGCTCTGTCCACCTACCGTGCCGAACAACAGCCCTAAAGCCCGAAACCTGAAACCCTACAATGAGACACTAAACCCTAAACCCTAAACCCCAAACTCCAAACCCTAAACCCTAAACACCATACCCTAAACCCAAGCCCTGAGTTCTCCGCAAGGGCCCAAAAGCCAAGCTCCAACCGACTCGGGGAGCTTGTAGGGTTTAGGGTTTAGGGTTTAGGGTTTAGGGCTAGGGTTTAGGGTTTAGGGTTTAGGGTTTAGGGTTTAGGGTTTAGGGTTTAGGGTTTAGGGTTTAGGGTTTAGGGTACTTTTCTCATTCCCTAGAAGAACTAGAAAGGCAGCCCTCAACGCTTCAACCCTCAACGCTACTCTTGCATCTGCAACTCTGAGATGTTGCATGTTGTGGGTTTAGGGTTTAGGGTTCAGGGTTTAGGGTTTCGGGTTTAGGGCTATGGCCTTAGGGTTTCTAGGGCGCAAAGTCCAGGACAGCCTCTCGAGGCTCAGCCGTGCCTGACCCTCTGAGGGAGGCCACCCTCGGACAGCGCGACATGCACTTCCCCTGACCCTAAACCCTAAACCCCAAACCCCGAACCCTAAACCCCAAACCCTAAACCCTAAACGCCGTCTCTTGGGGCCTCCGCGGCGGAGCACAGGAGCTGCAGAGCCCAAGGCCAAGCGCTACCATGGCCTGCTGTGGTGTTGGGGTGGGGTTTAGGGTTTAGGGTTTAGGGTTTAGGGTTTAGGGTTTAGGGTTTAGGGTTTAGGGTTTAGGGTTTAGGGTTTAGGGTTTAGGGCTTAGGGCTTAGGGTTTAGGGTTTAGGGTTTAGGGTTTAGGGTTTAGGGTTTAGGGTTTAGGATCTAGGGTTTAGGGCTTAGGGTTTAGGGTTTAGGGTTTAGGGTTTAGGGTTTAGGGTTTATGGTTTACCTGCAGGTTTCAATGTAGCTAGTTCTGTTTGGGGTTGTTGGGGGTCTTACGGAGGGTTCTAGAAAACCCTCAACCCTAAACCCCTAAACCCCCAAACCCTGAACCCCAAAAAGGATACTCCCGAAAACTAAATAACCCTTAACCCTAAACCCTAAGCCCCCAAAAGGAGACTACATACGCGGGGCCGGCTAGGTTAACTCACATCTTTGCGTGTGAAGTCACTTCTCCCC